GTGTGTGTGTGTGTGTGTGTGAGTGAATGTGTGTATGTGTGTGTGTATGTGTTTGTGAGTGTGTGTGTGTATTTCTTTTAAAAATTAGAATGGCTCTGTACAAGACGTTCACAAGTTTAGGACAATCACTTTACTCTTCACACTTTTCTTAGGCCAACTGTCTTTGACAACTTCGAGTGCATCTAGAAGTCCTACCTCATCATTAATTTTAATACCATTTCTGTAGTTCACACTACATGAAGAGGGAGACAGTGTTTGCATGATTTTTTCAAACTCTGTTGTTTCAGCGGCTGCAGCAGCACCCACATATGTTTGACCCACGAAGTAATCAACCAACGGCCTCCACAGCTCCAGGTCCGCCATCACAACAACAACAACAACAACAACAACAACAACAACAACAACAACAACAGCAGAAACAGCAACAGCAGCAACATCAACAGCAGCCGCAACAGCATCAGCAGCAGCAACATCGACCACCGTGCCTGCCACCGCCACCACAGCCACCACCACAACAACAACAACAACAACAACAACAGCAGCAACCACAAGCTCCTCCAGGGGGTGCGGTGTTAGTGGGCGGGCCGCAGGGTCAAACGTCAAGACCTGCTGGCTCCTACGGCATGCCATCTACTCACTCGAGCGCCCCGGTGAACGTATCTAACACTACTAACAGTCTGTGCGTGGTGTGTGGAAAGGTGGCGGTCTTCCTCTGTTCCAGCTGCCGCAGGATGTGGTACTGTAACCAACAATGTCAGGTGAGACATCTGGAGTCAGTCTGTTTACGGAAATGACATGGGTGGTTGGCGGGATGCTCACTTGTAGTTTGCTCCTACTTTCCTATCAAACGTCAATTGTCCTTATATTTTCCCGTTCTTATTTTCTTTGTAGGTTACTCTCTATTAACGCCTTTAATAATCTCCTGCACTTATTTGGCCTATTTTTGCTGCTCTTGCATTATAACTGTTACTATAACTTAACAGTTACAATGACAAAATGCAAACTCTATAATGTTATTAGATCATTGCCTTAAGCAAGTCTGAATTTAAAAATGATGGTGTCTATTTATTGCTAGAATTTAAAAAAATAATAATAGAGGTACCGATTTCCAGATAACTCTTGAAATCTGTATTTCTGAATTTGTCTGGATTTTGTCCACTTAAATATAGATTATA